GTCAACAAATGGAAGCTGTATTTTTATTTGGGTAGCAATACATTTTCCAGAAATCCGTTTTCGAGATCCATTGACTTAGAGCTCATTGTTTGTTTTTGTCATTGTTCTTTCGCTTCTCTATCTTTTGTAGCTGAGTTTTTTCTTAATAAAAGAGCAATACATGTACACTTTAAGTAGTTAGAAGATATAGATAAACGAAATAAAAATTATCCATGATAAGGCAATCAGGTATGTGCTTCAGAATATATATATATATATATATATATATATATATATATATATATATATATATATATATATATATACTTGTTTTTGGCAGGAAAATGCGCCACCCCAAATCTCAGGCCTTAATCTGAGCCCCTGATCCAGGCTAAGTTTGGCTGGGCAGCTCTGTTCTGCGCCTTGGGACTCTCATTCTCTCAGAAACAAAAGCCAGTCTAGTTTTATTCTTCTCCGGAGGTGAGCAGAAATGCGAGACCACAAGTGGGAACCCGTGATGGCTCTTATGACCTTGAGTTGGCCCTGGCACACTCCCATTTTCACCCCATTGTATTGGCCAAAGCAACTTACCTGGCTGAGTCCAAAATCCAGGAATGGACTAGATTCAGAAAGGAGTCGAGAATTGGGGCCAATAATGCAATCTATCATAAGGTATCATTTTGTTTTGAAAACATTGGCTAAAATTGCACATTCTTTGTTTGGTTACTAGCTTTTTCTCACTTAATACATTGCAGAAAAACATTCCCATGTGATAAAATAGTCTTCTGCATGAATATTTGTATGGATTGTATCTTTATTCCATTGAATGAATGTTTTGCAATTTGTTTAATTGGTTTCCTAGAATTGGCCATTTAGGGTATTCCTAGATTTCCAGTATTCTGATAATTGTAGCTCTTGATGTATGTGCATCCATGTTCATATTCTGTATTGTTAGGTCAAAATTATATGTAAAAATATAAGGTTCCAATATATATTGTCAAAAAAGCAATACCAACTTATATGCTTTTACTAGCAGTATATTAATAGTACCTAATTTCTTAAATTCCCACTTATTTTGGATATAGTCATTTGTACATATGTATACTGGGGTGCTAAAAAATGTATACACATGACTTGTATTCAACTTTCGTTATCAGTATATATTGAGTATTATGATTTTAATACAGTTTTTTTCTTTCTTAAGATGTGTATACATTTTTTGGCACCCTCTGTACATTATAAAGTAACTATTTTGCGATGCTGGTACAAGAAACTTTTATACAGATTCACCAGTTGCTTTCTTTTTTCTCATTTGTTTTACATGTATGTGTATGTAAACATTATATATGCATATCTCTCTACACACACACAAACACGCACATATACACACACTTCTCTCTCTCTCTCTCTCTCTCTCTCTCTCTCTCTCTCTCTCTCTCTCTCTCTCTTGCTCTAGCTTTATACATAATTTCCCCTCCTGAATCATATAAGATTAAGTTTGGAGACATAATTCAGTGTGTATTTCCTAAGAAAAAGGACAACCTCATATACAACCACACTGATTATCAAAATCAAGAAATTTTACATTGATACAGTGCTATTATCCAATCCACAGTCCATCCACACTCATATTTCATCAATTGTCTAGTAATATATATATTTTAGCTATTTAGTTTTTTCCAGCCCAGGATTTAATCCTGTATCACTTACTGTATTAGTTGTCATACCTTTTTACTTGTCTTTAATCTAGAACCGTTTTTTTTTGTTTAGTATTTTTTTTTCCTTCGCTTGGCGTTTCTTTGATTTTGATATTTATGAAGAGTTCAAGCCAGTCATTTTATAAAATGCCTATCAACTTGAGTTTGTCTGATGTTCCTTCATGATTAGATTCAGATTATAGGGTTTGGTAGGAAAACCAAAGAATGAATGTGTGTCCTTGGAACACCATATCAGGAGGCACATGCTGTTCATTTGTTCACTTTTAGAGATATTTGATCTTTTAGTTCAGGAATGTCTGCCGGGTTTCCTCACCATAAACTTACTGGTTTTCCATTTGAACTCTCTTCATGGGTAAATACTTTGAGGCTATGCAAATGCACTGTTCTACATCAAACATTCAACCGCTAGTTCTAGCATCCATTGATGGTTGTCTGTTACCATTATTCCTTCCGCATGTACTAGTTGTTGATATTCTGTGAAGACCTTTCTCTTCTCTGGTCTGTCTGTCTGTCTGTCTGTATTCACATTACCATAGAATCATAGATTCATATTTTATTTACTGGGTCATTATACAATTTTGATTCTCAAATTATTCTAGCTGTTTCTAGTGACAGTCCCTTCAAGCTGGCTTCTGTGTCTTTGTGATATGTCCCGGTCATTCTTTGGACATTTTCTTCTTTTCTGATGCAATGTGATATTCCAAGCTTATCGTCTACTTCCCCTGCCTCATCCTTGGAACTTGCCTTTTCTCCCCCAAGCAGTCCTCATTCCTTTTAGTGGAGCATGGCGTTTAGAAACCAAGATCTGAATGTTACGAGAGTACTATTACTTCTAAGTCCTCTCACTGTACACATATTATCCTTTCTACTTTTATATTTGTAAACTCCTATGATAGTGAGGAACATGGCTCCCCGTATTCAGGTATATGTGGAAAAGACATTTTGTTTCTTGGTGAGGTTTAATATTTTGTCTTTGCTTTTGACAATTTTTTTTTAAACACTGATCAAGTGGTTTGCTTGCTTTATGAGTTGACATGTTTGCTTTTTCCTTGTTGATTTGGAATTGTTCATTATATGTTAAGAGTACTAAATATTTTTCTGTTAGATATAGAAATTCAAAAATGTTTCTTCCAAGTTGGTTGTTTCTTTTTGAATTTTCATTCTACTTTTGTTTCCCATAGAGAATCGGGTCTTTTTTTTTTTCTTTTTTAGACCTCACTACACAGAATTGATTAATTATGATCCTTAGTCTGACACACTGTTATGCTACCCACCCAAGGCTTTTGTATAAATATATCCCATTTATAAATATATTTATTCACAAAGAGATTTATTATAAGGAATTGTCTCACATGGCTATGGAGGCTGACAAGTCCCAGATTTTGCAATTGGCCAGCTGGAGACCCAGGAGAGCTGGTGGTGTGGTTCCAAGATCAGACCAATGTCTCAGCTCAAAAGTAGTCAGGCAGAGAGAAAGAAGTTTTCCTATTCAGCCTTTTGTTCTATTCACACCTTCAACTGATTGGATGAGGCCCACCCACCTTGGGGAGGGCAATTTGCTTTACTCAGTCTACCAATTTAAATGTTCATCTTATCCTGAAACACCCTTAAAGACACACCCAGAAATAATGTTTAACCAAATGTCGGGGAACTGCTGGCCCAGTAAAGTTGACACATAAAGTTAACAATTATAGGCCAGCCGAGTGGTGCGTTGGTTAAGAGCTGACTTGGGACGCCAGAGGGCCCCGGTTCGGATCCCACATATGAGGGCCAGTGACACTGCCCTCCACAGCTAAGATGCTGAACAACAGCTCAACCTGGAGCTGGGCTGCCGTGAGTTGTTGGCGATGGCGTAGGCTGCAACCCCTGCTGCAGTGGGTTGCCATGGGCTACCCTGTGTAGCCAGCAACCGCAGTGAGCAGCTGTCCAGAAGCCAGAGACTGATCTGCCTCGCCCGGGAAGAGCGCAATGATGGTGCCAACTTGGGCCAGTGAAGCAATGTCCTCCACAACTAGACTGAAGAACAAAAGGACAGAAACTTGTCTGTTCCCCTTCCCTGATTCCCCAGTGCTGTTCCCCAATTCCCCAATAAAAATCTTAAAAAAAAAGAACAATTACTACCTACTTTTATTTAGTTGTTTTGTTGTGTTTGTTATAATTTTTTAGTTAGTTGTTTTTAGTTACACAGTAAGCATGTGTGAACTACCTTCCAAAATTCAGCTAGTCCCTTGACAAGAAGCAACATATAAACATGGTTGGTTCTCCTCTCCCAATCCGTCTCACGTCTCCTCTCCTCTGTGGTCACCATCATCCTGAGTCCCTATTTATGGAGTTTTTAAATAAAAGCGGAGTTGTAGTATTAAGGTAAGTTTCCAAAATTTTGTGGTTTGTGATTTCATGAAAAAGGGTATGTAATCCTTTTTAAGACCATTATTATTAATTTATAATAAAGTATGCAGAGTATTAAGTATACACTTCAATGAATTTTTAGTGGAGAAAAATTTTTTACTCATGTAAACACCCATGTGACTACCCCCTATTCCAAAACCTAGACCTTTTTCAGTCTCTTAAAGGACTTGTTTGTAATCTTTTGTTACTTTTTTTCATTTAATATCATTTAGATAAATGTATCCACATAGTTGCTTGTGATATCATTATACTCATGCATCTTGACTGTTGTATGCTATTCCATTGTATAAGTATACGATTTTTACTGATCGACTTTCTCATTGATGAGTAGTTGAGTGGTTTCCAGGTTTTTGCTATTGTGGACAGTGTAGCTCTGAATGTTCTTGGCTGATATACATGTATACTTACATCTATGAGTGGAATTGCTGGACCGTACACTATATAAATACTTATCATTAGAAGACACTACTCAATTGTTTTCCAAAGTGATAATACCATGTTACACTCCACCAGAAGTGTGTAAGAGATTCCACAGATCTAAATCCATTCCAAAACAGTATCGTAAACTTTCAATTTTTGCCCAGTGAGTGTGTATAAAATTATGGACTATAGTTGTCTTGACTTGTATTTTCCTGATCAGTAATGCTGTTTGACATCTTGCCAAAGGTTTAGGGACCACTCATGCTGCTTCTTTGAAATGCCTGTTCATGTGTTTTGCCCATTTTTGATTGGTTCACTCATGGTTTTGTTTTTGGTTTGTAGGATAGTCTTGGATTTTTGGTAAAATAAATTCTATTCATCTTTGCCTGTGTGCATTCCGTCTTTGCTTTCCAATGTAGCAATGTTTCTCCGCCCTACAGTGATTTAAATATTTATCTGTATTATTTCCTGCAGGGCCTCCTCGTTTTCTCCCTGCTGTTTCCATCACCAGTGGGCCCCACCTAAGCCACATTCCTGAGCTGAAGGTCTGCGGACGTGGGACGTGGGGTTTTGCACTGCGTAATCAGACATCCAGGGCTCTCTGGGTCTCCACCCTGGCCCCTCTCAGGCTCCACTCCAGCTTGGCTGTGTCTGGGCTCAGGGAACTGCCTCGGGCTACCTGGTCTATTTCCAGGAGATGAGTGATTTTCCTTTCCAAAAAACCGAGGAGTACAACATTGACTGGATATTCTGGAAGATTCAGCTAGATTGCTTTTACAAATGAAGACACTGAGGTGCTAAGGGGTGATGCAATGTGTCTGGAATTTCACAGCCAAGAAGGAGGAGAAAGGCATGGAGATACCAAATGTTTCCTTTGATCAAATGGATCCATGTTTGCAAACATGGTGTTGGATTTAGTGAACATGCGTTCATCTAATTCCCCTGCCTCTGAGGCCAAACTGTGACAAAAACAGGCCCACACAAACCGGCTTGTCTCTCTGCTCTCATCTGACTTTCCTCTGTCTACTCGTCACCTCCCACCCTCATTCGTGCTCATCCCTGTGGCCACGCGGACACCATTATGTTCTTTGAATGTGCTGAGTTCTTTCCCATCTCAAGGCCTTTGCTCCTGCTACTTCTTTTGCTGAGAGTGCTTCTCCCTGGCCCTTTGCAGGACCAACTTCTCACCCTTGAGCTCATGCATTCGCTTAAATGTCACCTTTTGTCCTTCCTACTTCCACCCCTCTCCTGTGCAGGGTACCACAATGCTTTTGTTTTGTTCCTTCCTAGATCATATTGCAATGTGTGATTCTGTTGTTTATTTGCTTTTTACTACTTCTCCCGGGCTCCTTCCTCCAGTGGATTGCACATGCCAACAGTTTGTCTCATTCATCTGTATCCTCGGGGGCTGGGCCAACGCCTGGTACTCCATTCAATCAATATTTGTTGAACCAATGAATGAATCCAGTGGCTACTCAATAATTAGTGGTTTGCGTTTCCTTGTCTCCTTTGAGCAGCCGTCACCATTCACACACATTCACACTGGCACACACAACCTGAATAGGACAATGGAAATAACAGCTTGGTGCGTGTATCTAGTATGTATCAGAAAAACTGGCTAAACCAGTTGGCTTAGCTACTGTTTTCTGTTCTGTTTTGTTTAACTTTAATAAGTTCTTTGGCCTCTGAGCTTCTTCTGGCCTGGGTGTACATATTCACAGAGAAGGGGAGTTTACAGTAATGATGACATATTAAGGAATATTAACATAATGAGCACTTTCATTCAATAGGTCACTACCAAAAAGATACCCAATAGGTGATGACAGCAAAAATGATTCTTGAAGAGCGTTCCGTGCCCTTTGAAAGGGAGTAGGAGCCAATCAGGTAAACTTGTCCAATCCTTTTTGTTTAGGGAGCCCTTTCTCAATACCTGGTGCTCAGCAAAGTGGGGAGGGGAGCGTTCTCACGGCTCCCGTGTGCTGAACGAGGAAGCAGATGCAGAATTGTTAATTCTCAGGAAGTGTGCTAAGCAACACTGGGATTTGCCACCCTGAGTTGGATTATGAGATGTCTTTTCAATAACAGCCTCATTCTACGGTCCTGACCCAGTCTGGCTGGAAGTTCGAGAGGTTAGTGGCTGCTTTTCAAAGGCTTTTGCTTCTTAAAAATTACACGTGAGGCAGCCTATTTCTTCCCCTTGGTGACAGCTGGGGAATTTCATGTTGAAAAGAACGGACAGTGGTTGATATTTAGGGATAACTAGGCAATTGCATTATATTTGAAGAAAGAGAGCTGTTAGTTTTTCTTCCCCTCCTTCCCTCCCTCGAGCCCTCCCTTCTTCTCTCTTTCTCTTCCGTCTTCTCTCCCTTCCTCTCATGTTTCCTTCCTTCCTTTTCTTCTTTCTTCCTTCTATCCTTCCTTCCACCAACTTCATGCCTGGTACTGTGGTTGGGCTACAGATACATGATGAAATGTCTTACCTCTCAGGTGTTCAGAAATTAGTAGTGGAGAGAAACAAGTAGAGCATCATAGCACAAGATGACAAAAACTATGCAGAGGGACAAACACAGGTTTCAGGGAATATAAACAGCAGTGTGCTGACAAATGTTTCGCAACCGGGGCTCTACGTTGGGAGGAGGCCTGGATTTGTAGCCTTTGCTGATTTTCACGGTGGAAATACTCCCGCCTTGATAGATTTCAAGCTACGAACGTGGTGTTGCTGCACATGGATGGAGTTGGGAACAGGCGAACACACCCTGTCTTCCAGTAGGAGCTGGCTCAGCACAGCCCAGAGAAGGGCACCTCATTGGTTCCATGCAGGAGTGGGATTTGTAAGGTCAGGGGAAGTGTCCCAGAAAAGGAAAGAGTTGACTTGTTTTAGGTTCTTTGGGAATGGGGAGTGCAGTTAAAAGAAGGAGTTATAACTCTTTTTCTCTTGATGTATTTATTATACATTGAAGAAAATAGAGAAAATGCAGATAAACCTAAAGAAGAAAATAAAACTTGCTTGTAATTTAAAAACTGGGAGATGAGCCCGGTTCACTTTTCAATCATTATTCCTTGTGTCTTTCTCTTTTCTCCTCTTTGTGTGTTGAAATGTTATCATTAGAGAGCAGGCCTCTCTATCCCAGTTAACCTTCTATCTGATAGTAAAACTGTGACTATTGTTTTCTTTTTAAATTCATTTTTAAACTGATATAATCCATTTTTTTACCATTTTGATGCCTCTTCATTTAAATGTTGATTCTGATTAAATTTAAAATTGATTTTTGTATGTTTTAAATGCACATATAGACATACAATTATAACTGTTAAATTTACGCTTCTATCATCTTGATTTAGAATTTATTTTTCCATGTTCTTATTTTTTTTCTTGGTATCTTGCTTTTTGTTGTGTTTTAATGCTTTGATATTTTTTCTTTAGTTATTATTAAAATGTATATACCCTGTTTTAAATTTAGCTCTTCCTGTTTGGATTAAGATTTTTCCCGTACTTTTCTTTTGTTCTTTATCATCCCCCCATTTTTCTTTTCTACTTCACAGGCTCTGGAATTTTGGATACAAAGTATTGGTATAGAAATATTATTGTTGTTATTTACTTTAAACACTGATTTTTCAAAAAATCATTTTGACTTTGGTGTGTAACTTTACGACTAAGCTTAAAATAATGATGTAGTCTTACCTGGATTTGAATTGATTTCTGTGCTAACTAGTCACCTTTTCATACCATTTTTGAGTTCTAGCTTTAGTTTTATCTTTCTGTTGGGCAGAGTGCATATCCATGTAAGTATTCCAAAAAGAGTACATCAGTAATCTATTATAGAATGCCCTGAATATTTAAAATGAAATGTGGTTCTGTTAACATGATCTACACATGAAAATGTAACTGGCAGGAGGTTAAAAAACAACAACCTAATTTAATAGAAGATCATAAAAGAAATGACTGCCAACCAGGAGCCCTGACTCTACATTGAATGTTAAGCTTCAGCCGCAGGCTCCGTTTTCTCTTCGTACGGGTATGTTTTGGACCCAGGTACGGGTCTTTATATTCCTCTTGCTAAAGTGCAGCTTGTGCTGTTGGGCCTCCCACTGGGCTGTAAGTCACCTCCTAGGTCTAGGTCGAGGCTCTGCTGACTCTGGGCTCATGATGTTCACTGGGCAACATCAAGGGAGGAAGCCAGGGTGCCATGACAGGTGGACCGCTCAGATGCCAACTCCTGGAGAGCCTGCTGGACTGTCTTCTTATCACCACTGATGTCTATGACATCCCTGAGGGTTCCTTCTGGGCTCTCTGAGAAGATGGCAGGCTTGTCACCAAGACAAACACACAGGGGTAATCTCTATAACCATTGTTATTAACCACGTGTGGCTTCATATTCCAAATCCTTTGGGATGTGTGCTCAATTCACATTTTAAGTAATGACTTGTCATATTTCAAAATGTTTATTATATTCTCAGCACAGTGTGATTTGCTGTACATTGATCATCTCATGCATTTATCCAGCTATCTCATTGTCCTCATGACAGATGTGGAAACTGAGGCTGAGAGAGATCATGACACTTGTTCAGGGAACGTGCCTGGTAAGGGGCGGAGCCTGCATCAGAACCCAGCATTCTGACTCATTGTCCATAATCTCATCCCCTGCACAATCACCACCTTGTTGCTCATAAAAGTCTCGGGCTGTCGAGTCTTCAACGTCTCATGCTGGGTCCCCAGGCTGCCTCCAGAAATAACTTTTCTGGTTATTGCATACAAGTGGAGGGGGTTCTGGCTTTCTGGACTCCTAGCAGTTTCAGCTCTGTGGGTTCCCCCTTCACTTCCCTCCCCTGGAGGGTGGGTCAGGGTAGGGCTGCCATGGCTTCACCTGGGTTTCAGCCTCAGACTAGGAAGCAGACCCCCCTGACCCCCAGGTCCCAGGACTCCTCTCCCTCCAGCTTTCATTGCCTTGCAAAGAAGGCTTGAGACAAACTGTTTACAGGCCTGGGAGGATCAGTAAAAGTTGGCAAGCATTTCTGTCCCTTACTTAACAAACCTTAATGTGCCCTCATGTACCTATTCACCTAAAAAGAAACACATAGAAAAGCAGGAGAAGAGTGATTTCAGGTGCTGGCAGCAAGGTAACAAATCTCATGAATTCCACGTAAACCTCCACTCAAACTGTGGCGTTCCTTGAATGGGAGCAGAGTGTGTTGCCAGAAGCAGCTTCAGAGGACATCTGAGCTTCGTGCTTCTAAGATCCAGGGGTCTGCAGAGGGTCCTAAGGGGCTTACTTGGTGCTGCTGCATTTCCACCCCCGTGGGCCTGCTCCGAAAGTCCCCAAGCCCTCTGGAGTCTGGGGAGATGGGGTGGTGGGTGGTATGGGGAAGGAATTGCAAACCATTATTAGCCCTAATCCCAGGATAAGCCTAGGGAGCCAAGCAAGATGAGAAAACCCTGATTGTAGGCTTGAGAGACAGAGAGAGAGAGAACTTTTGTTCCTGGCTAGAGGAGTTCAAATTTCAAGTAGAGGTTTATATACATGACGTAATAGTCACATTTATCAAACAGTTCAAAGCCCAGACATTATTCCAAACTCTGCATGTGTTCACAAAATCCCTTCAAGGTAAGTACGATTATTATCCCCATCTTTCAGATGTGGAAACGGATGTTCAGAGAGGTGAAGTAACTCACCCAAGGCCACACAGCTGTAAGGGATGGGGCTGGTATTCAAATGAAAACACTTGGC